TGTCCGACTGTCAGACAGGAAGTAGACAGACAGATGCTGAAAGGTAAACAGCTCAGACCGCCATGGTGTACCCACGCCCGGCTCACGCAGAGCACAGAGGCTCAGACCTCCTCGCCCACCTCCTTTCTCTTTTAGGCTTTTGACGCAGCTGACTCCTTTCAATGAGGAGGAGCAGCAGGAGCTCTACTCCGACAGCCGGGCCACCTGCAGAGGACGCTCCTCTCTGCCGCTCGTATCTGTGACCTCGCAGTTTGTGACGACAGGACTGCAGAGCAGCGAACCCACAGCTTCACCCTCTAAACAGGGACTCGGTCGGTTTGCCTCACCTTGTATGTGAGGAGCAGGATTTTAATTCTGGATTTAACAGGAAGCCAAAACAGGAGAAATCTGCTCTCTCTTTCTAGTCCCTGTCAGGACTCTTGCTGCAGCATTTTGGATCAGCTGAAGGCTTTTCAGGGAGTTTTTAGGACATCCTGATAATAATGAATTACAGTCGTCCAGCCTGGAAGTAATAAATGCATGAACTAGTTTTTCACTCAGACATGAGGACCTGGTCTGTGCTGCCACACGTCTTTAAAATAAATATCCAGTGTTGTTTCCTGCACGCTGCAGTATGGCCGGGAACAGTAATGTGTGCAGGGCAGCGGTGGGATTTATGCACACGTGAAAGGTCACAGTTTAAATGTGCAGCGCCGTATAAATACTGGATCAGGACGCCGTCCATCATTAAACACTCGTCTGCCATGAATATGAAAGCGGCGCGTCTGGTTACTGGACCAGAGCGTCTTGAGCCGCCGTGAATATCAGTGCTGTCAGAGCCAATCAGCTTCAGAGAGGAGGCAGCGCAGCAGGCAGAACGTCCTGCAGGAGGACACCGGCCGGGCGAAGAAGAATCACGCTTTCACGTCACGTGCGGGTTTTCACCGCGTTACCTGCACTCAGCTGCACGCTGTCAGACTCGGCGTCAGCGACATCGATGTTAATAAAACGATAAATCATCATCATCCTCACGCTCGAATGAAACACAACTGATGAAGCTGCAGGTGAATCGCAGAGACCTCACAGCAAAACTGATCTGAGAACACCTGCGGACGCTCAGGTGACAGGAAGTACACGCCATCTGTTTCTGAGCATCAGCTGACTCTGAGCGGCAAGACAAGAAGACGAGAGTTTCCTCCTGTCAGTATGTCACAGACGAGACTCAGAGCGAGGAGACGGGGGAGCGAGGAGGCGGGGCTCGGCGTGAGGAGCGTTCGTTCGTGACATCAGTGTGACGAGGGCTGTGTCCCAATTCAGGGTCTGCAGCCTCAACGATCCTCAAGGGCTGCGTACTCAAAGACCGCTAAGGCCGGAAGTGCGAGGCTTGTGAGATGGGACGGTCTAGCCACCGTTGCGCTGCCCAGGTTGCCTAGCAACCATGATAGTAACAGCTGGAAACGTGTCATACAGCTGTGTTTGACAGAAATGAAGGAGAAAATCTTTTGTTCATTTGTTTGTTTCTACATGAGCTTTGATCATTCTCTGTGAGATTAAGCTCAGCTATTGAACGGCGTATATTTTAAAGTAAAGGCTTTAAAACCAAGTTAGTACAAACGTCACTGATGTCACGTGACTTTGCCGACATGTGGCCAACAGTCATGTTTTAATGTTCTTTGTTATTAAATATTTGCACATAAATAAGTGACATAATATTCAGTACTTACTTAAAGTTTACTCTTCGGCCGCCCCTCATCCGCCGTTTTTTTTCGGCAAAATTATCCACACCCACCGCCGCGCTATGCATTCTGGGATATGTTGGGCCACGAAGTCTACACCGCCACATCCTTAAAATTCAGGGGAATGAAGGACGCATTTGAGGGCCGCATTTCGAGCAGCCTTTGAATTGGGACAGCCTTCGGCGCGTCGCTGTGACGTAATCGGCCTTGAAATGCGGCCTTTAAGGCTGCAGACCCTGGATTGGGATACAGCCGAGGACGCCCGTGTCAGCGTGTTCTTACCTCCACAGCAGCTTTCGCCCGGACAAACTCGTCCTCCAGAGACTCGTTCCTGAGCAGCAGAGAGCGAGTCCGTCTGCGCTGCCGGGACGCCCCGCAGTCCTGAAAGCCCGCGCGCGCGCGCACACACACACACACACACACACACACACACACACACACACACACACGTGCACGTACACACGTGCACACACAGCAGCAGGTCAGTGTGAAGGAAAACAAAGTGACTGGGACAAAGTCACAGCTGCATCTGATGCTCCTCGGCTAACCTCCAGCGGTCTGCACTCGTTTCTCCCAGGCTGCCTGAACTGCACACTGTCACTACAGATAGCAGACACACCGGGCCTGATCTCAGTCACTTTTGGCACTCACCTCTCAGTCAGAGCACTCGCTAACATCGTGCCGTGGTTCAAAGGTCACGATGAGGCGAGTGCGAGGCTGAGCTGCAGCAGCCAAACTCACCGTGACCACACCAGGGTCTCCAGAGCAGCACCCGCAGTGTGTACTCGCACACGGGTGAGCAGATGCAGTACTGCAGTAGTATTTGCAGCATGAGCAGTGGCTGACCTGCGTTGAAGAAATGAAGTCGAGGTCGTCGAAGCTGTGGATGTTGAAGCTGTTCTTGGTCAGCGGGTCGGTTTTAAACTCTGCCGACCTGAAGGAGAACAGCACAGTGTTAAAGGGGACCTGCTGGTCCTAATTTTGTCAGTGTCTTCAGGTGAGCCAGAAGCTCCGCCTCCACCTTTCTACTCTCGGACCTGTGTGATGCCAGAGAGTACAGATACCCTTTTATGGTGATCCCAAGTTTAGAAACTCAGATGTTCTGTTTGTGCAGGAAGCTGGTTCAAAGTGGGCGGAGCTAAAACTGCGAGTTTGAGACAGAGGACGAGCCCAGTGTGAGGTCATTCTGAGCCGGGGTCATGCAGAGCTACGTTACCACAGCAGTTCACTGGACGAGTGATGGGAGGTGCATCTCTTCTCGTATCTCCTCCTGCGCCCGCCGTCCTCCACGTCCAGGTTCACCTCCTCCCATTTCTCCAGAGGAGACGACAGGCTGACTGCAAACACAACAACATACCTGAGGTCCCATTATTATTCCTGGTGTGTGTGTTTATCAGTAATGAAGATGAGACAAGCTTCAGCCAGTAAAAACACAACATGGGAAGTGCAGCTGGGTGTAAACAGGAAGTGGGAACTCATCACAGTAAAAGCTGCGATTAAAGATGCTGCTCCTCACGACTCGGTGAGTTTAAAGCTTTTAATGAAATGAAGCAGTGAGAACCAAAGTGATGAAGGCCTGAGTGTATTGATAGATGGCTTTATAGCAGACGTGGGGCAGAGCCACACTTTTAGCTGATTTATTCGTCAATGACAAATTAAAGCTGAAAATCTGCCAGTCTCAGAAACAGGTCCACAGATGAACCCGGAGCTGTGGGTACCTGTGGACGCCTGAGGGCAAAGAAAGGCTCACGCTGCGAGCTTTGAGGTCTGACAGGTCCAGCGTGGCGAGACGGCGTTCAGTCCTCAGGAGGCAGCAGCTCACACGTGCTGGAACAAGCCGCGTCATTTCATGCTCGGGCTTATTTACGACGATGAATTTATGATGAAGACACTTTCCCATCGTTCACAGCTCCTGCTCCTCCTGCTCTCAGGCTGAGCTGCAGGTTTGAGCGTCTCTGGGCCAGATGTTGCTGCAGCTGTGGATGACGGCGTGCACTTTCAGTAATAAATATGACTACATGTTGTAATCGGCTTTTCTCCCGGGGCGTCTCTAGAAGACGCACAATCCCTCCACAGGGATCAAACTCAGTGAAGCTCGGGTTGAGAGATTGAAACCGTCTTTGGTCATGTGACTGTGGTCTGAAGGAGGCGGGGTCAGTCTGCTGCCTCACCTGCTAATCAAGGTGAGCGGATCACCTGAGAACTGAACACAGACCCTGCTCGCTGGCCTTGTCTCGCCTTTTAGATCCACGAACACAGAGACTCAGCCGCTCGCCTCCTCGCTGTCACGTGATTAAAAACTGATGATGATGATGGCGTCGGGTTCAGGCTGCTCTCTGAGACTCACCTGAGTCCAGGGAGATCCTCTCAGGTGTTCTGGGACTAGCGGGCAGGTGTTCCACCTGCACCTGGATCAGCTCCGTCTCCTCGGGTTTGGCTCGGCGTCGCGGACTCTTCGAGCTGCCCTTCTTCCTCAGAGGGCTCCTCCTCCGCTCCTTGTTGCTCCCCCCGCTGCTCTCCCCCAGCTCGCTGAGGTCCACCAGATCCAGAGCTGTGGACAGAACTGCAGACAGCGGGAGAGGTGGACTCGTTACCCCGACAGGCTCAGTGTCTGTGAGAGCGGTCGGCCCTTCACTTTGGTGTGGATAACAGACAATAACAATATTTAACTCAGAAGTCAGAAGATTAGTGCTCAGAGTACTCACAGTACTCAGAGTACTCCGAGTACTCACAGCATCACAGTTTCGAGGTTATTTAAAACAGATTTACTGCCTCGGCTCAGCCTCGGAGGCCGACGAGCTCGGTTAGGACAGGGCGCCTCCTACACGCACGACCAGCTGGGACTGAGACGCTCTGGCCGACCTGCAGCGTTCGTTCATCACGGCGTCCACGAGCTGGAGGAGGTGGCTGTGAGGAGGCGTCCGTGTCCACCCACCCTCATCAGTGAGTTTAACCATCGAGCCTTCAGCGGTGTTAGAGGAGGGTTACAGCAGCGCTCAGACGTGTTCTTGTCACTGCGCTCAAAGACGAATAAAGTTTGAATTGATCCACGACCAATAACAGAACGCGTGACTCTGTGACCTCTGAGCGTCTCCCTGCAGCCCGGAGCCCAGGCTCGGATCAGATAGAATTTCAGCCACACCACCTCCTCCCGTCCTTCCCCTCCCCTCGTCTTCCACAGCTCAGCGGGGCTCCTCTTCCTCCTCCTGACACGTCGACAGTTTTTATGTAAATGCAGAAAGAAGCAGCACAGCAGCCTGAGTTTAATGTGAGGAGGAGGACAGAGCAGACAGGAGGACAGAGGAGGTCAGAGGTGCTAATTAATGGCCGGTGTACCTGCTGAGTCGGAGGTGACAGATGGTTCACAGAGGAGGAAGGAGGACGGCCAAGGGCGGAAAGTTAGAGTGCAAGAAAAGAGAGGAGATCAGAATGAGGGGAGGTTAGAGGAGGAGGTTTCTTCTCACAGCTCAGTCATGTTTAGCAAATTAAATAAAACAGAAATGGATCAATAATGTTTCCTCTCCTTTCTCCTGCACGAGGGCTGAAAAAGAATCCTCACACTGAGCAGGAGGAGGAGGTGGAGGAGGAGGTGGAGCCCCGCTGAGCTGTGGAAGACGAGGGGAGGGGAAGGACGGGAGGAGGTGGTAATTAGCGGGAGTCTACCTGCTGTGTTGGAGGTGAGCGGTCGGGCGGAGGGGGTGTCGCTCCGGGTCTCCGACAGGAAGTCATCGATGGAGGGGCTCAGTAGGGGCCGGCTCTCCTGCTGCTCCCCGACCAGCTGGAGGGCAGAAACAACGGGTTAGAGCAGACCGCCGAGGAGACGCAATAACACAATAACCCCCCACCCCAAGGCACATACTGTAAGGTAAAGACTCCACAACAATGCAGAGAAACCCAACAATCATATGACCCCCATGAGCAAGTGCTTTGGTGACAGTGGGAAGGAAAAACTCCCTTTGAACAGGAAGAACCAGGCTCAGCGAGGGGTGGGGCCATCTGCTGGAGAAGGACAGGATAAAGACACGCTGTGGAGGAGAGACAGAGACTCTTAACAACTAAAGATGAGTTCGCTGCTACGTAGGACTCTGCATGTCTCTGGGTGGCTTCGTGTCCAGAGGTCAGAGGTCACGTTTGACACCATCAGCTATGGTTACACTCTGTCAGGACCTGTGAAAGTGAAGCTAAAACATGAAGCAGAAATCTACGCCGGCTGCTTTTAAAAGGACGGCTCAGTCAGGTGACAGGATGGAGCGGAGGAGGCGGAGCAGCTTTTAGGGCCCTGCAGTGATTGCAGGAAGCCGGCGCGGCAGAGCGAGCCTGTCACATTATGAAAGGATGATGAGATAACTGGTCCAAAGGTAATGAATGTGTCTGAATGAGGCACAAACATGTCGCCTCCACACGCTGGTGTCTGAGCGGAGCCTCCTCACAGCGGCACGACTCAGACACACAAATGAATCACAGCTGCCGCTGATTTCACCGGTGAATGTCTCGTTCATCCGAGCCGCTGCTGAGGGAGCAGGAGAGGCTGAAAACGGCCTGCAAAACACCAACCGTGTGATGGAGCACATGCCTGTGTCACAGCAAACCTTCAGCACCGCTCGAGCAGCAAATGAGGCGCCGCGTTCTGCACCGCAGGCGCAATCCGTGGGCGCGGTGCGCTCCCGGCTCTGACCGGGCTCTGTTACACCTGCAGAGGAGCCAGCTGGTGTGGAAACACCGGTGGATATGTCTGTGAAGGTTCTCAGTCATCCAGGTCATCGTAGTCAAAGGAGCTTGCAAAGAAAAGCGTCTGGACTTCTTTAAGTTTCCTGAAGACGTTTCATCCGAGAAGCTTCTTCAGTTCAAAGGTCAAATGGTGGAGAGTCCCAGATTTAAACCCAGTGGGACTCTCGGCCAGTTGACCTTAGAACTGAAGAAGCTTCTCGGATGAAACGTCTTCAAGCAACTTAAAGAAGTCCAGACGCTTTTCTTTGCAAGCTCCTTTGAAAACACCGGTGGACAGATGTGCCCAACAGGCCGCTCTGCTGCCTGCCAGCTCTGAAGCATTCTGGGAAGTGTTAAATCCCAGTCTGATGCCAGATCACAGATTATTTTATGTGCCTTCCTAATCCTAATCCACAGCGCTGTGTGCGCCACATGTTTAATCCCGTGAAGAGGCGAGCAGCACCGCGCAGATTCACTGTGAACTGATCGCTTCAGAATAAAGGCCCAAAGGAAAAAGGATATGAAACAGCACGGATCAGGAATCATATCCGAGATCATAAATCCAGAATGAGATGGGAGGATAATCCAGAGATAAAACAGCTTCAGAGTTTTATCAGCTGAACCAGGAAAAGTGGAGGGAAAAGTCTGGATGTGACACAGAGCGATGCTTAAAACCGTAACGTCGCTGGATGACTTCCTGACCACGTTGCAGGAAGAATGGCCAAGGAGGCGTTTGCTGTTTCAGGGCGTTCCTTTGTCATCGGGGATGAATCGGTCTCACAGTTGTGTGAGTCACGAATCTTCCCAGCTTCCTGCACATGTTCATCCTGCTGCTTTAGTTTTAAAGGTTTCGATGACCTCGGTGAATCCTCACTGCCGTGTCTGGAACAGAAAACTCTCCCGAACTCCAGCAGGGATCCGACTCTGTGCCCAGGACGAAGGACGAGGTCTCCTTTTCCGACCTGGTGAGGTCTTTCAGCTCATCCTCAGAGTTCATCTGACACAACAAACACACCGACGACACTGTTCTGTCTTCCTGTCGCTGACAGATGATATTCAGATCATTTTTCAGTGGGCTTAGGGTTACAGTGAGCGTCCGGTAAAAGTGTTGACGAGGAGGAAAGAGGAGAGCGGTCAGAGCTAAATGACTTTGGTGCTGCGTTTAAAAGCCGGGGACAGCGCGGGGAATCGCAGCGCCGCGGCTGTGTGAAGGTGCGGCAGCTGGCAGCGATGAAGTTTCTCTCTGAGCGGAGCACAGTAACGGCAGCTGCAGCAGAGCGGAGGGTCAAAGGTCGGTGACATGATCACACTGAAAACTGCGTACTCTGCAGACGGGAATAAGACGGTTGTTCACTCAGACTAAACCTGAGAAGTCTGACAGCGGCGGCGGGACCGTGATGCACAAAGAAATGTTTCAGCAGAGCAGTAAACGCGCTGACCTTTGACCTGCTTGCTGTGAGCAGGAACTAAATGTCGAGCTGCGAGGGGGAACAAACAACTACGGTGGTCATGCCAACCTTGGTCATCACGGGGAGGAAGGGGTTCCCTTCAGAGGATGTCTTTTTTACCAGGAAGCTCCTTCAGCAACAACCTTTTCCCCTACGACAGGCAGACGGGCAGGGTCGCCGTGATGGGCGGAGCCAGAGGCGGCGAGTCGTGATGTTGTGTCAGTCTGTGCAGAAAGGCTTCAGGTTTCACGCTGGCAGCTTTTCCGTCCGGCTCAGTGGCGACGAGGACGTTTCTGATCTGAAGCTGAAAACGAGGAGACTCACCAGAGCTCTCATCTGTGCACGCTGTCCACCTGTACCCGATCTTTCTGCCGCTCGCAGCAGGTCCGTAAATAATTCACATTAAAGTTTATCTGAAGAATTTCTAGAACAATCAATCAATCAATCAATCAATCAATCAATCAATCAAGGCTTTATTCGCCACGTGCAGGTTGCCCTGCAGTGAAATGGGCCCCCCCCCCAACCCTACACACACAACACAGACATCACATGGGGACACAGGTCGGAGATCGGTAACATTACAGAAAAACACTGAAATATACACAACGATGGGAAAGTACAAGAGGAAAAAAAGAGACCTCTACTCATGCTGGGCTCCTGGGAGGACAGCACAAGAACAGGAAACAAAAAACTCCTCTGCACAGAAAGCACATAAATGTCCACAGCACAACATTATGGAGCACGTGACCAGCCACAGGGTCGGGTGGGGGGTGAGGAGTAGGGCTGCCACGATTACGTCGACTATCAGACTCGTCGACGACTGATTTAATAGTCGACGCGCCGTTTGAAGCTTTGTAAGATCACAAAAGACGCAGGAATAAGTAGCAGGATTTAAGAGTGTAATAACGGACTGAAACAGAAGATGGCAGCACTGCATGTACAAGGATGCCAGCTGCCGTTAAACCCCGAAGAAGAAGAAGCTGTGTCCCAGAATTCATAGCGCAGCCCAGCTCAGTTTCCAACAATGGCGGCAGCTAGCTAGTTTTAATATTACTCTTATTATTCTTTCTGGGTCACAAAATAAACGTTTAACATATTTTCAGGCGAGAATGTAGCTGTGTAAACCTCAAATATCTGCTCAGTTTATCAGGACACCACATATTTTCAAAAGCGCTCCGACGTTTTCGGAGACGTCTGTTACCCACTAGCTCGATAGCGAGCCGGGGGCTAGGCTCACTAGAGCCGTGAGAACACCGGACTCCCGGCAGATCGTTTGCAAACCCACCGCCGTCTTTCGCTACTCAGGTTAAACATGATATATGAGTCACTTAGATAACTTAAAATGTTATTGTTTGGCTTTTTTAGTGTTTTATTTGTTCCTGAGTAAATCAGTTTGTCTGAGATTAAAGTTTTTACACAGCTGAATAAACGTCAAGCAGACAGCTGATCATCAGAAGTGTGAGATGCTCCAGAATTTACTCCGGTGTCCTGTTATATTTTAGATAGCAAGGAGTTTATTAAACTTCACCGAAACAATCTGCAAATTTCATTGAAATTTAATAAACTATCATCTTGTCTTTATTGTTAGTTAGCACCTTAAACACTTAAAGCTGTCAGCTAATGATAGTTATATAAGAGCAGATGCTGCTGGTGCAATAAGCTGTAGTTTCACGTCCAATGGATGATGATCTGATTAGTCGACTATCACAATAATCGTTTGTGGCGGCCCTAGTGAGGAGTCATCCGAAGCAGCACAGCAGCCATCCTGACCAGTGCTACCATTCCAGTGCGGGCTCAGATCCGCCGTGTTCCCAGGAGGCAACAAGCATCGAAGGCGTTTGGAAGAGGAGGGGGGACGAGTGTGTATCAGTGTGTGTGTGCGTGTCCAGAGTTCAGCTGACACAGTGTCCTTCGCCCCGCCAGGCTCAGTAAACAGTCTTCCAGCCAACCCAGGTGGCCTTGCATGGAATGGGAAGAACAGTCTAAACACAGTCGTTATCAGGGTGTTGCTGTTCGGCTCCAGCCTTGAGACCACAGGTAGATATCTTCAGCATCCTCGATCGACAGTCCCGCCAAGCACACGATCCTCCATGTCTGCCACCCGTCCATCATGTATCCGGCAGGGAAAGTCCCTCCAGGGCACTCGAGCTCTCCCGAGCCCAGACTTCTCGTTAAAGGGTGTCAATAGCATTCAGAGACCAGTTGATCAAATCCATAATTCTCTTTAGGTTTTAGAAACAGACTGTGAGAAAGTGTTCAGGGAAAGTAATACACACGAGACGAGACAAGGACACAAGAACTAAGCAGGGAAGATAAGGGAGAGGAGAAAAGTGCGACGGCCTTCGCCCAGGGCCAAACGAGAGCCATTCTGTTTTATTCTGCAGAGGGAAGTCATACGTAAACGAGATGGCTCTGTGATGTCAAAGGAGCTTGCGAAGAAAAGCGTCTGGACTTCTTTAAGTTGCTTGAAGATGTTTCACCTCTCATCCGAGAAGCTTCTTCAGTTCTAAGGTCAGATGGCGGAGAGTCCCAGATTTAAACCCAGTGGGAGTTTCCCCCCAAAGAGGCTTTAGCTGCTGAAGACAGCTAAGCTCAGCTCTCTCTGACCATCACTCTACTGCAC